CGGGGCGGGGGGGGGGGGGGATTGTGGCGGCGCGCAATGGCTTGACAAGCCCATTGTTCACATAGCCCCTTGCCCCTGCGCAAGGAAGGATGACACGCATGGTGAGAAATGGTCCCAATTTTTTGTTTAGAAAAAAGCATAGATAAACGTTTATATATATATGAGTCGGTGAAACTCCGACGAAACAGTTTGTCACAGCCCCTCGTTTGTTGTCCTCTTCTCCCTCTCTGCCTACGGTTTACCGGGCAGTTCTATTTGACGATATATATGTATTTATGTATATCTATATCTATTTCTGTATATCTATATCTATACATATATCTCTTACCATAGAGAACTGCCTATGTGACGATAGACTATGACTGTATATATAAGCATCTACCTATCTATCTGTCTATATACATTCCTCTCTTCCCTCTTTTCCTACAGTGTACCAGGCAGTTCTTTGTGGACGATATATATCGTCACAAAGATATCAGAGCGCAAAAGCGAAAAAAACAGAAGGAAAACAAGAAAAAAATCGATTTCGTTTTTTCATGTTCTTACTTACAACTCCCCCTGTTCAGAACCTCTTGCGTACAAGGCCGCCCACGTGGATGGAGGTTGAGCGGGGGCTTCCCCCCCCCCATCTCCCCACCCCCCCACCCCTCACCTCCCCCGTGTGTCTTATCGACCCACTTGCACAGAGCCAAAAGGCAAAGAGGCAAAGAAAGAGGAAGGGAACAGCCGAATATAACAAAACAGGGGGAAACAAGCATAAACAGATCAACAAGCATAAACAGATCCTAGATGACAAGTCTCACATGCAAGCACCTCCCCTTACCTCACAGGCCAAACGACGGGACAAGACCAACCGGGATATCCAAACACCCTTCTTGCCTGCAAAAGAGAGCAACCCCAGATAATAACAAACCATTTGTGCTCGCCAGCGTAGACCCCCCCCCTCCCCCCCCATTATGTTTTCGCCGTATGCTTTCGCTGCTCTAAACTAAAATACTGGGACACCACCACCAACGGCCAAAAAAAACATAAAAGATAATCCCAGATGACGATTCCCACAGAAAAGCACCGCCCCATCGCACCGAGGCCGAACAACGGGAAACAGCCAACTAGGATGCCAAAAGGATAAGAAACAGTGCCAACGAGATGACAGGTCCGACATGAAAACACCACCGCCACGGATGTCCTAACGTGGGCCGAACAACGGGACGAAACCAACATATATACCTGTCATCCTCGTGGCAATATATACCTGTCATCCACGTGGCAATATATACCTGTCATCCACGTGGCCGGCCTTGTACGTAAGAGGTGATGAACAGGCGGAGCTTTCCTTCCTTCTTTTCCTTTTTTGTTTTGCCTTTTTTCACCTTTGCGCTCCGATAAAGTTGTGACGATATATATAGCCTCCTGACGAGTCGGTGAAACTCTGACGACACAGTTTGTCACAGCCCCTCCCTCGTTTGTTGTCCTCTTCTCCCTCTCTGCCCTCGGTTTACCGGGCAAATCTGTTTGACTACATATACATACTCTGTTTGACGATATATACGTATTTATCTATGGCTAGAAAGCTATGTGAGGGGAGCTGGCGTATCTGGCGGCAGTGTGGTTTGGCTGATGCTCGTGTGGGTTCAGCGTTAACCGGCTGCTGTGGACGTAGCCTTACAGACGGGCAGTGGGCTCAACTGGGGGAGTTGACTTGGTCCAGTTGGCATTCAGCCTCTGCATGTGTGTGTGTGTGTGTGTGTGTGTGTGTGACAGAGAGAGCGACACACACACACACACACACACACA